AATTTTTTTCCAATGATGTATCATTTGTCATATTTGGACATCAAACATGGGATCTAGAGGGGGGGGTCAAATTGAACCCCCCCCCCCAGCAGGAATAGGGTTAAACCCTTTCTAGGGTCATATGATAAAAATTTTGGACCGATCGGATTAAAACACCTAGACAGTGAGACACTCAATTGAATAAAAATATAACGGTTTTTAGGGCGCTTCGTGGCGCACCAGTTTCTTTTAACGTTTAACTGTTACTCTGAAATTGGTATCTGTAATCGTTCTCAAATTTTTCAGATTTTTTGTTTAAATTAGCACATTTTTAGAAATAATAAATGTCGACATTCTTTTCGAGGCAAAATTTGTCATCTTTGATGTTTCTTAAACCTTCCCTTTTTAACATTTATTCGATACAGACAGACATGACAGGACGACAAACAAACATACAAACCAAAGGAATTGAGTCTTTGCCACAAACTCAATTTTCTAATCCCTATATCTTTGGAACCTGATGATGTAAACCTTTGATTTTTCAAACTTAGATTATTTGATCAAACAGAATTCATAGTTTGAAATAACTATGGTCTACGACCTTTGGTTACAAAAATAGAGAAATTAGAAAATCTGAGTTTGTGGCAAAGACTCAATTCCTTTATGTATAGAAAGATGTCTCCCTCCCCCCTGATCACAGTGCAGGTGTTATGGAGCAGACTCCCTCTAAACTTTCAACAATTTCAACACAAATTTAGACATGTATGACATTTTCCGATATTTCATGTATTTTGATTTGAAAAACACACTAAAAGTGATCTATGTCTCTGGTAAATATTAATTGTTTGGTGATTTTAAAGGAAGACGAAATTCGAAAGGAAATAACTTTATTTGCATTTACCCATTTTAAAATACATTTAAGAACTATAAAATGTGTATTTAATATATGCCAACTAATAATTTTTAATGTTTACACATTTGCTTTTTATGTCTATTGTATTGAATGGTTAAAACATTAGGGGAGTACGCCCCATGCAAGGGAGTTGTCCCCATGCTATACCGGTACAAATGGTAAATCCTAATCCTAATTAATTATGATAAAACATCGGATGAAAAGAAACCCAAGGGACAGAGAAGAATTATATTATATTTTCATTAATTGAAAACGTTTGCCAGAACGTGAGAAAATAAACCATCTCTGGCACATTTATTATTCTTCTTATTTCCTTTTCAAATTGTAAAAAAATGAAAAATTAAAAACCTCAAAATTTTTCTTTGCGAAGCTTTTTACAATTGTTGCAACAACGATTCAAAAAAGTTGCTTTTAATTCTTTTATCTTGAATATATAGCTTCAGGAATTGAAATTTTTTAAAACAAATTCTTTATTTAGTTCTGAACGTGAATAGTGATTTGAACTTTATATTTTAAAAACCCTCCGTGGGATTGCCAAAAATTTCTTGGCGTTTTTAATTTTAACTTTTGACATGATTTAGAGAGATACTGCCCGATTTGCAGATGTATAAAAACGACTAAGAATATTTTCATCAGTTCCTTGTTTAAAATGAGGGTTTTTTTTCTAGATAACATATCCTTAAATCTGAAATTAAAAAAAACTTACAGCTTTCCATCGAGAGATGACAGAGTTGAAGATCGTGAGGATACGCGTTGAATTTCATTGAGCAACTTAGCAGTAGGGTCAACCTAGAACAAATAACTTAGCAGTAGGGTCAACCTAGAACAAATAACTTAGCAGTAGGGTCAACCTAGAACAAGTAACTTAGCAGTAGGGTCAACCTAGAACAAGTAACTTAGCAGTAGGGTCAACCTAGAACAAGTAACTTAGCAGTAGGGTCAACCTAGAACAAGTAACTTAGCAGTAGGGTCAACCTAGAACAAATAACTTAGCAGTAGGGTCAACCTAGAACAAGTAAATTAGCAGTAGGGTCAACCTAGAACAAGTAACTTAGCAGTAGGGTCAACCTAGAACAAGTAACTTAGCAGTAGGGTCAACCTAGAACAAGTAAATTAGCAGTAGGGTCAACCTAGAACAAGTAACTTAGCAGTAGGGTCAACCTAGAACAAGTAACTTCGCAGTAGGGTCAACCTAGAACAAATAACTTAGCAGTAGGGTCAACCTAGAACAAGTAACTTAGCAGTAGGGTTAACCTAGAACAAGTAAATTAGCAGTAGGGTCAACCTAGAACAAGTAACTTAGCAGTAGGGTTAACCTAGAACAAGTTAGTATTACGCATAGAGTAATAAAACGAAGAGGTGAAGCTTAGCTCAGATGTACACAACCGACCTCCCTATTATTTTTTACTCTATGGTATTACGTCTGAAGTGAGATGCTTAGATAACTCTAGTATAAAGGTTGCACGATTCGAGTCGGCTCAACATAAACTGTTAAATGAAGTACATGTTGAGCCGGCTCTGAACATGCCTGTTTAGTAAACTATTTAGTTTCTAGTTTGCTGTTTATTTACCTGTTTAGTCACTAGTCAATGGTTTAGTCACTAGTCAGCTATTTAGTAAACTGTTCAGTTACTAGTTTGCTGTTTATTTAGCTGTTTAGTCACTATGATCAGCTGTTTAGTCGCTAGTCAGCTATTTAGTAAACTGTTTAGTTACTAGTTTGCTGTTTATTTAGTCAAAACACAAAAGTCTGTTGCTTAGTAAACTTTTTTGTGCAGATGTTTGGTCACCAATTAGGAATGGGCATCAGCTTTGGTAACAAACATAGTTATTCTTAAAAACGAAATTTTTAGGAAAATTATCGCACAATAAGCGGGTACAAAGCCGGAATAATTAGAGAAACATAAACAATATTCTTTTCTAAATCCCGAACCATGACGGAACAATTTCTCAATCTTTTATTGATGAACTTGATGGATCATAAATGATTTACAAATTCTTTTTTGAACATGTCCATCTCTATAGTCAGGTGTTTAGTTGGCTATTAAAACAGCTGTTTTAACAACTGTTTATGCAGCTGTTTAGTCATCTGTTCAGTAATTTGTTTAGTCATTTTTTTAGACATCTGTTTATTCATCTGTTTTTTCATCTGTTTATTCATCTGTTTTGTCATCTGTTTATTCATCTGTTTGGTCACCTGTTTAGTCATCTGTTTGGTCATATATTTAGTTATCTGTTAAGTCAGCTGTTTAGTCAGCTGTTTAGTCAGCTGTTTAGTCATCTGTTTAGTCATTTGTTTATGTATCTGTTTATTCATCTAATTAGTCAGCTGTTTAGTCATCAGTTTACTTTAAACTTTAATTTGCGGAAATGTCTGCCAATTTGTCTATTGCTAAAGTTTGTGTGTGCGCAACTGCATCAGAAACTGATTTTTCAGATTTACAAATATCGAAAAAAAACCTACTTGACCATGTAGAAAATCTGTTTGTTTCGATACAGCCACACATAATGATTTGGTATCGTCATTGTCTAAATAAAAGGATTATTTTATAATAAATATACAATAATATAATAACCCCCGGATCCATGTATAGGTATTCCAACATTGTTGTTTTCCTAGATCCAATATAGGATTAATTAACAGAATTTCTTTAGATCTGCTTGTACAATTCTCATTTAATCAATTCGTATAAAAAAGAGAATATATTTACAATGAGAAACAAAAACTGTGGAATAGGAAAACGACATTTACGCAATAACTAAATCTACAATTGATGTTGTTACAAAGTTAATCGTTTTACTTATTTGGTATAATGGGTCTGTTCACACTGCACAATTTCTATGTTTCATGTTCATTGGACTATATAAAACTAGTCATAACTTTGGTTTGAAAGTCATCTTCTTATTCCAGAGTTTTCTGGTTTTCACTGTATATAGTACTCTTTTAACATTTATGCTGAAAGGGAATGTAAATATATAAATGGGAGTTCTGATTCACAATGATACCCTTTGAACATTTGTCTGATCAAGGATGAAATGTATGCGGATTTATGCCGCATGGAGACAATAAATGAAATAATTAGAATTTTTAACCTTTTTTAGCTAGAAAATCTCCATTAATGTTTCTCAGACGGAGGTTTAAAGGGCACCGCTGTGAATCGGACATGCCAATTATAAGATGAAGGATCGCTTTAAAATACGTCTACAGTCCCTTCAAGGAACCAACTTGTGTGTATAAAATTCTTCATAATATTTAATAATTAAAAAGTTTATGTTTGAAATAAAATAAAATTGAAATTGAAACAGCTGGTGCTACTGTGCTATAGATTTATAAAAATACAGTTAGAACACTAGACGTCGTCTTTTCAATATATAGGGGTTTTTCGTTCACAATAACCCAGAGGCAGAAGCGCAAAGGAGTTAAGGGCAGGCTCTATCTCTGTCTTGTAATTCAACACGCATGCACGTATGTTATTGTGAACGAAAAACTTTAAATCTTATAAAGACAACAACTTTCTATCTGTATTGTTATTAATCTATGTCCCCAGCTAATAAAAGAACTGTTTTGCATAAAACAATAAAAAGGAGATAAAACCGACTAAACAAGAGGTATAAATATAAACAGAGTTTGTTTACTTTTTTTGAAAACTTATTTTGAAATATATTCGTAAAAGCTGAATTATCCAGACTGCTATAAAAATGTGCTTCCATTTTCAGAAATGGTCGGGCTTTTTTTACTTTACCATGCTATAACTCACTTATACTTTTTGTAGCCCTAAACTTTTAACTTTAGCTTTTTAGATGTAATGGGTAAAATTGTGATTGATTTTTGCCTGAGAGAAATTGCAACCCCTGGATCACTGTGGATTATGAAATGAGTTTCAGAATGAACTGAATAGTTTCTGATAAAAACATGGTTGCTTAAAAATTTCCATGAATTTATTTTAGCTCAAAGATGGTTGGTTGGTGCTGTAAAGGAGTTGAGTTTTTGCCACAAACTTTCTTTGCAACCCAATATCGTTGATATTTCAAAATTAGATTGTAAACTGAAATGCCTTTTTCGTTTATAATTTATATGTAAAATGTTGTAAAACTAAATATGTTTACGAAAATAAAAAATATTTTGTCTTAAAAAAAGAAGATATTTCAAACTTTGTACGAACTCTGTAAAGTCAAATAATCTCAGTTTTAGATTTACATTATCAGGTTGCAACGATATTTACATTATCAGGTTGCAACGATTAGATTTACATTATCAGGTTGCAACGATTAGAAAATTTAAGTTTGTGGCAAATTTATATAAAGTGAGTATTTTGTGTATTTTCAAAATAAATAAACCTTTCAAAATGAAAATTTTATATATATTTTTTTATATATTATTTATATATATTTTTTATATACTATTTATATATTTTTTATTGCTACCTGAAATGTAACCCTCTTTGCGTTTTTAAAGTAAGAATCCGGTCTCCATATTTCCTAAAAAATCCATTGTTCATAAAATGTCCATATTTTCTTAAAAAAATCCATATTTCCTGAAATATCTATATTTCCTAAAATATCCATATTTCCTAAAATATCCATAATTCCTAAAATTTCCATATTTCCTAAAATATCCATAGTTCCTTCAAATCCATATTTCCTAAAATATCCATATTTTCTAAAATATCCATAATTCCTAAAATATCCATATTTCCTGAAATATCCATATTTTCTAAAAAATTCATATTACCTTAAAAATAGGTGCAAAAATTTTTTCAAGATTATAAATTATAATTTTGTAAACTGGAAACGGAAAAAAACTAAGAATAAATAAACGTTGATTTCTTACGTTATCTTCAAAACCAGAGTACAAACATTTCTCATATCCTTTTATTTATATATTTCCATAAAAGTGTTTAAATTGAACAAGTAAAAGGCACTATTAAGAACTTTAAGTTTAAATTCAAATCACTTTGATTAGTTTTGTAGCATTTTTCAAAATTTGAAACAAAATATCCTTTGACTTATTGAGTTAAAGGGTCTGTAAGTGTAATTTCAATTGACCCTCTCCCTGCAAAGTTAACAGCACCAGATTTACACCGGTACCCTGGAAATTCTAATCAAAAATACAGAGAATGTTCTTCTTTTTCTCACTCAAAAAAGTGTTTAATTCTGATAAGTTCTTAAAACTGCACAAATCATTTTAGCAGAGAACCAACATATGAAAATAAACATTTTGAATAATGTTAAACATTAAGATATGATTCATACTTGATCAAACAAAGCTATTAATGGTACCGATGTAAAGCGGGTATTGATTTCTCTGCATGAAAGTTACTTGAAATTAAGCTTACAGTCCCTTTACGCGTGAGACTTGAAAGGATGGTTCAGGTTTACCATTTTTAAAATACTCACTCATACTAATTATTTAAGATTTGAAATACAATAAAGTCTATCTTTACCGATCGTGGCTCAGGGACATATATAAGCGTTATAATATGCTAAATGTGATTATAAATTCAAAGGTTAGTGTATACGATGTGCATTTTTAAAAAGGTTAGGTATTTTCCTAAGGGTGACTTCCAAAATGAAAATTTCCCACTAAACAACTTCCAGAATGTGCAATTTCCCATGCGGCAACTTAACAAATGTTAGATCAGGCCTTCTTTGGCGACACAGGCTGCAAAACAGGATAGGGGAACGAGCGCTGCGACAAGGACAGACTTGGGAAATTGCCACCAGTGAAATTGCATATTTGGGAATTTTCTTCTTGGGAAAATACCCATAGGAAGTGATCGCTTGGGAAAGTACCTTACATCTTTTCAAATAATTAAACAATCCCTTTAAACAAGAAAATATGTTACCTTCAGCCATTCTATTGGCAGTAGCTGATACTCCCTAAACAATAATAAGAGAACATATATTAGACAATTGTTTACTTAATACTTATTCATATACGTATATATGTATGTTTTATTCACATACTCTAATTTTTAATCCCTATATCTTTGCAACCCAAAATCGCAGATGGAATTGAGTTCTTTAAGTTTTGTTATCCCTAAATCTGAGCAGCCCAATGGTATAGTGTAACGTGCAGTAGACCTCAGATATTTCAAAATATCATATCTGTTTGAAATATCAGAGGTTCGCACAATCAGGTTGCAAAGCATTAGGCATTGGATCATTTGATTTTGTGGCAAAGACTCTATTCCTATATCCGGGTTACATATTAACAATTTAAAAAAGATTTGTTCTTCTCAATACCTCTTCAATTAGAGGAGTTGTATGATTGAAAACATAAAAGATTTGACGTGCAATTCAATTTAGTTAGACATGGACAGTCTATTAGAAACAAATATTATGAAATTAAATCAAATCTAATCATGCTGCTAGGGAGTCATCAACACCGAAAACTCTAGATGAAAATTATGAACATTATTACTCCATTATTATTTAACCTTTTCTCTCGGGACTAAAACCTTTTTAAAGTTTCAAAGTATAATCAAATTGGTTAAAATCAATTTAAATTGACAGTTTGCTGAACCAGGATTAAATAATTTAATCTTTCAGATCTAGCTATCTTACAAAAAGACAATTCTTACACTTTTCTTTTCTATATTTAAAGTAGTAATCCCTTTTTGTCTGTATGTTTGTATGTCCGATCATAACTCATGAATCAAATATATATATTCAAAAGGGAAAAATACCTAAAATCGTAATTTACGACCAAGTGCGGGTAAACGGCAGGATTGATTTTGACCACCCTGGACAACGATGGGTTCTCAGAACCAAGCTCTTCGCGCATATATATATAATATATATATATTTAAAATGTATTTATGTGTACGTTGGCTATAGCTGGCCAAATTGGTTGAAATTGTTTATGGGAACTCAAGGGTACCCCACGGGGTGATATAGGCTAAAAAGTATTGGAAAGTTTTAAAATTCCATGGTACAAATCCGGGCACTTCAGGTAAATCATGATTTAAAACCAAGTGCGGGTAAACGGCGAGAGTAACTATCATTAAGAATAATTATATAAAAATCGGCACTCCAGCTCCTCCAGCATAGTCTTTAAATAAAAGTTCTAAGTGTGAATAATTCAAATTCCCACTGAACAAACTCAAATTAATCATTATATTTTTTTCTATTTTTTTTTATTTCTTGCCAGTAAAGAGACTAACATCGATGTTACTTCAAGTAACCTTTTATTTAAGAAGAGAGATGCCTGATTCACAAGAGCACCCTGTATCCCTTTATCTCATCAATAATGTGGAAAATATCGTCGTTTATCTAGCTTGGAAAGTGATAAATTCTGAAAATTCTCAATGTCTCTGAAAAACCACAATTGAAAAAAAATCCTAAGCTTTCTCAAAATCAGACCTGATGCTTTTATAGGGTATCCTTGTTAAGCGGAGACACACCAATTATTTAAATGGAAAGTCACTTGAATTTCCATTCACAGTCCCTTTAAAGGTCTCACCTTGTGATATTATCAGGGATCTGTAATCTATGATCTTTCCATTCTTGTCCAAAAAATATATCAGCTGCATACGTCTGAAAATATATATTTATATATTTAAGATGAGCTACGTATATGTCTGAAAATATACATTTATATATATAAGATCAGCTGTATACGTCTGAAAATACATATTTATATATTTAAGATCAGCTGCATATGTCTGAAAATATATATATCTTTATATTAAAGATCAGCTGTATATGTCTGAAAATATATATCTTTATATTAAAGATCAGCCGTACATGTCTGAAAATATATATCTTTATATTAAAGATCAGCTGTACATGTCTGAAAATATATATCTTCATATTAAAGATCAGCTGTATATGTCTGAAAATAAGAAATATTTAAGATCAGGGGCAAACTCATTTTAAGGAAGTTAAATCTCTGTGGTTGGCTAGAATCGTAGTTAGAGCTGAGCCTGCGAGTCACAACATTTTGGATTTAGATAATTAGATTGCAACTTAATCTATTTATAAATTTGGCTTGTCTGTCTGTCTGTCTGTTTGGGTGTTTGTTTGTTTGTTTGTATCCAATAAACGTCAAAACGGCTGAACCGATCGGGCCCAAATTTTTTGTGGGACATCTAGGGACCCCAGGGAAGGTTTATGAATGATTGAAATTTTAAAAATTTGTGTTTAAGAGGTTTTTAATTTTGTAAAAAAATTTAAATTTTTGAAAATCCGCGAATTTTTTTTTAAAAATCCGCAAAACTTGTTTCATCTTTGTTTTGAAATGTAAACAATTCGAACATGTTCCTAATTTAAATAGAAGATGGGCGCGAAGCGCCCTAAAAGCCTAGAAAGAAGGGCGCGAAGCGCCTTGAATTTCTAGTTTTATTAAACCTTTTTAGAATTGTATTTGGCGGATTTTTATGTTTGGAATTAGCGGATTCGAGAGATTTGATTAGAATATATACTCAATATTGAGACTCATTCTCCACTAAAACCAACCAACAAAGAATTTTTCTAGATATTTACCATTGAACTTTCATCAATGCTGTCTAAAATCATTAAGCTTAAATCAAAAATGTAAAAAAAATATTTTTGTGGATTTTACTAAATTAATTCCAACATTTTCCTGTATTGTTATATAAAGCTTAATGAATTTCCTATGCTCATGACGGTTATATGGAATCCGACTTTCGTAGCTTTTCCTAAAATAAAATATTTTTTGAAAGAAAAATTAAATAATTGAATTCAATTTTTCTATTTTAATCCAAATATTGTGATGTTAATGTTGTATTAAAGGGACTGTATAGTCGTGATTTCAAATGAGTCTAGACTTAGACTCATTATAGAATTTAAACTGACTCTCTATATTGAAACTACTACAGTGCCCGCAAGAAAACAGAATTTGACGAAGAAGACAAAAAAGTTGAATGGTTTATTTATTTTCCAATATGAACATTACGCAAATAAATAGTTGTAAAAAGTTTTAAAAACTAGTTCTTTTTCTATTGGATTTTATAATTTTAAAACAACGTAAAAAGATGCTAAAACCAACACTTTCTTTCTTAACTTTTATAATTCATATTCATCATATTCTCTCAGGAGCCAAACAAAACAAAAACAACATAATTAAATGAATTAATTACTTAAAAATAGGCGAAAAAATACCATTAATGAGTATTCCATCTCCCAATCTTAACTCTTAGGTTAAAATAAAAAAAAAGACGATTTTTCCATTAAAACCGGATCTGGTCCATGGAAAAGTATTCGAAAGGAATACAAAGAGTGAAAACTTAATAGGGGAGAAAGGTTCGAAAATGAAGGCAGGCTGATGAAGAAACCAGGACACACAGATCCAGGCTGCTATAAAAGGTTGCATACATTTTTAAGACTGGATTTACTTTTGAGTGTAGCAGCGCATTGGCCTTTGAATGTCTGCACTTTCACTTTTTAGAAACCTAATTTTTGACATTTTAGAACTTTAAAGTAATTGTTTTCAACTTAAGTTTTAAAAAGTAATTAATCAAATTCTTTTCGACTTTTGCGTTCTAGCTTGCAACCTTTGGGTCATATGAGGACATTCCTTTTCTACATTTATTTGTCTAGATTGTTACAGTTGTATTGAACCATAGAACCGTAAACAGCTTTTACACATTTATTTCTTGTCCCCGGTCCATTGTTAATTTTACCTTTTGTTCTATAAAACTAAACATATTATAGTTAAGTTATGAAAACGTTTTAGATAATATACTATTTTCCATACCAAAAAAAACAAAGAATGTTTCTTTACAAAGTTAAATGTATTTTTTAATGAGGACTGTTTTTCTTTGAAAAATGTTTGTTTCCGAAAGAAATATCTGGTTTACGCTAGTGAAGGGAAAAGGTATTGAGTCTTTGCAACAAACTCAAATTTTCTTATCCCTATATCATTGCTACCTGATTGTCTAAACTTTTGATATTTGCAATCATATAAGGATTAGAAATTCAGAGCTTGTGGCAAAGACTCGAAAATCCTTTTCCCGGAAACCCAAAATTTCAAAAATTTCTGTTTAAAAATTAAATTTTGAGTTTGAAAAAAAATCTTTTAATTAAAACTACAGTTCGATCCAAGGTCCCGTTAACTCTGTATCCGAAGTGAAAACTTGGAATTTGTTTAAATATTTGTTGTAAAAAAAATTAGAAGTAATATATAATTTTTTAAAGAACTTTCGTTGTCCAAACAAACTTCGTTTAGAAAAATTTGGTTACCGAAATAAATTCCCGGTTTGCGTTACAAAAAAAAAAAAATTTCCGCTTTTCCATTTCGGACAATTCCACTAGAAAAAATAGCGGTTTTGGAAATTTTTTATTTCTGGAAAGCTTGGGATTTGTTCAAATATTCGTTGTAAAAAAAATCAAGAAATTAAAGAGAAAGAAAAATGTAAATTTTTTAAAAACCTTTTTTGTCCACTTACCTCCAGGTTTAGGTGGCCGCATTTTATCATAAGTTTTCCTGAAAGAGCACAGATATTGAAACTGGTCTTTTAACATTGGACAAGATGATTCTTTTGTTAAGATTAATTGTTTTAGAATTTAAAAAATAAAATAAAGTTTCAAATTTCCTGTCCACGATATCTTCAAACTTCAAAGGAAGGTCATTTATCTCGCCTAGAAAAAATAAAAAATATGTATTTTTATCTGAAATAAAAACAAAATTTGTTTTGCATATGTATCTATTTATGGCTTGGGTGTTGTGTGTAAAATGATTCTGGAAATCATCGAATGAAAACAGAAAAATTCACTAAATTTTACCTTGATAATTTTTTTTTTCAAATTTGAACAAAGAGAAAATGGCTGAATAAATAATATTTAATAGCTAAAGTTATTACAAGAATGAAAGTTATTTAATATTTAATTTATAAAGAACAATGATGGTTGTTTTTTATCCCTTACATTAATCTTCAGCAATCAAAGAGTTTTTTCTAATTTATATAGAGTAAAACGCCATATGTAACATTTTCTCGATCATCATGGTTTTGTAGACGTAATTTTAGGAGACTATACATTTAAAGAGGGAATTTTCCAATTCACAGCTGTTTCTTTAAAGGGAGTGTTTACGAAAAATTAAAGGGGTGTAGGCTTACGGCGAAAAATAAGCGCTTTTGATCGCTACTAATCTTACTTTTATCTGATGCGTCTATAAGGAGAAAATTGTTAAAAACGGCTCATACCGAAGAACGTAGCATCCATACAAATTCGGAACGTTGCAACATTCAACTCGGATCGTAAAATAATCAATTTAATTTCAATCAAATCATTCAGATATTAAAAACAATAGTCATCTTTTTCGACGCATTAGTGTATAGTTAATATATTTTATAGTATGCATACAATGTGGAGGAAATTTTCAAAATTGAACACTTTTCTAGCAGATCAATGATGATATCTTTCACATTATTAATGAGATGAAGATGTAAAAGGTACAAATGTGAATCCGGAGTTTCCATTTTTATATGGATGCTCACGACAGGAACTGCATAAGCGTAATTTCAAGTAGACCTCCATGCAAAGATGACAATACCCAAATTACAACGGTACCCTTAAAACCTTATTCTAATAAAAAATGTGGAAGATTCCATATTTTTTCTGACTTGAAAAGTCTTTACTTCTGCGAGTTTCTCCATTGCTTCTTATATAAGCTAGGAATGTGCAAGTCACTTTCGCAGAGAAACTGCAAATAAAATTAAACAGTTTAAAGAAACAAAAATATTGATATCTGATTCATATTTGATCATACAACGCTTTCAAGGGTACCGTTGTAAATCGGGCATTGGCAACTTTGCATGGACAGTCGTTTGAAAATACTACAGTCCCTTTACTCCTCTAATGGTTTTATTTACCGTCGTCTTCTGGTAGTTCACCATGGTCTGAGAGAACTGAACATTGATATAATTAATTAAATAATTGATTTCATAAGTTTAAAAAACTCATCATATTTAAGACATGAATTTCATTCATTATAGTTCTAATTGGAAATTTTAAAAAAGTGCATCTATAAATTTTTTACAAACATTTTATTTCTTCATTTTATAATTTGTTCAAAAATTTTAAGAAATTGCTTATGAAAATATATTTGGATGTCAAAAATTTATCTTTATAAAAAGAAAAGCTGTATATAAGTTATAATCATTGATCTTTTAGCACTCTTAAAAACATCTTTAAAGAGACTGTATTGAAACTTAATTACGTTTAAAATTTGAAAAAGCACTCATAAAAATTGTTTCATTACGCATACATTTAAATATCTAGAAGAATTACTCTACTATAATTAATCAATTAATCAATTCATTTCCTGGCGTCCCTCCATCCTCAGAATTGCTGAAATGATGAATAAATTAACGATTAGTTTGTTTAACTTAATTAATGGATTAATGGTCGATGAAGTGAGAATTGATTCAGGATTTAGTGTCAACAGAATTAGGGCTCGGCACATTCAGACTTTTTTTAAACCGGTTGTTTACGGTTAGTTAGAATAACGGAACAGGTAAACTTTTTAGCTATCCGTTTGTTCCGTTCAGTTATAAAGTAGGGTTTCAAACGCAAGTGGATTTTAATTTCCCTATAATTTCCTCGCAATTCCGCGCAATTTGAGAACAGATCCGCGCAACGGAATTCCGATTGGAAACCCTATTTTTAAAGTTACCATTGTTTAACGATCCCAATGATATGAATAAACGGTTTGAATTTTAGAATTCGATGACAGTGCGAGCCTTAAACAGTTATTTCATTAATTGATAAATGTACAAATTTTGCCGGAGCTGAAAAACCGAACCCTAAACAAAAAGTCGGCGGTGGCCGTTCGTTTATTTTTTCCAATCTTCTTTCTTTCATGAACGGTTGTTTTCGATCGTAACGATTTCAAAAATAACGCTTTCGCCGTTTGTTAACGGAGTCTTGGGTTAACTTTCAATAACCCTCTGTTCGTTAACATAACGTTGCTCAGCCCTTAATACAATTAGAGTTAATTGGCTTGTATAAAGCTATAATTACATCGTGGGAGGTAAACATTTTACAACATACTTTTATTACTTTTTAATGTAAAAGAACTTGCTAATGTCGACAAATTTTTAACAAATGTACAAATTTTGACGTTTTCCTAACTATTCAGAATGCTCTGTAGAACAATTGTAAGTGACATGAACCTCCAGTGTCAAAAAAAAATATTTTTAAAAATAAAGTTCAGCAGCAAAATACAAAATAGTGAGCGATATCCCATAGGGAGTAAGAAATAGAAGGGAGATACAACTGGCGCGGGTCGCCCTACCATATGATTTTGCATGCTTTGCAGACGGGTACTCCATTTGAATAAGATATATTCAGAAAAGGTTATTGTATACGCAGTAATTGTACATCAGACAAATATTTCTTATTCAAATGAAGTACCCGTCTGCAAAGCATGTATTGTATAATCATATGGTAGGGCGAACCCAGGAAGTAAGGAATAGAAGGGAGATATAACTGACGCGGTTCGCCCTACCATACGATTATGCGTGCTTTGCAGACGAGTACTCCATTTGTATTAAAAATATTTAAAATAGGTTATTGTATACGCGGTAATTGTACATCAGACAAATATTTCTTATACAGATGGAGTACCCGTCTGCAAAATGTATATTCATATGGTGGGGCGAACCGCGTCGGTTATATCTTACTTCTATTTCTTACTCCCTGATATCCAATGATAAGAAGAGTTTCTGGTTCTCACTGTAGAATGCACTTAATGCACCATCCATGTATAAAGACTAATAATAGGTTTAAAGGTAGTGACTGGTCAGGAGGGATAGTTGAGCTGAGAGTGTTTCGCTACTTAGCGAATTCCCTAAAGACCTAATGAAATCTATAAGTACCGAGTGGTATTTCTCTGGATAGGATTGTAAGGCTTCCTTCTCTCAACGCTCTCCATAACAAAGGATGATAATAAGGTTCCGAACGTTTATTTCTCTAAGCCTTCAATCTAAATAATCTTTTATAAGCCAACAGAAAAAGCATTGAGTGATAAATCATACAAATACAGCAATAAATCCACTCAGGCATTAAAAAACTGTGGCAAGGAACCCATACATTACATTATACAATATCAACCATAACCGAACATAAATAATCAAGATCCATATAAATATAATCATAATTACCGCAGTGGTCCTAGAATTTCACACGGTTTTAATAATCGACGAACTTTACATGAAATACAACTATATACTGAAGTAGAAACTGCTCGCTTCCACGCAGAAAACTTGCGCATGCGTAGTCGGACTGTAAACAGCTTCTAAAACTAGTTCTTTACAATACGTTCTGTACAGATCCTCAGGGAGAACTCAGAGATTCGCAGGGGTATCACATAGACTTTATGAACGCAGCGTAGCTCGCGTAACAGAGAGTGCAGTATTTATAGAATGAAACGAGTATACCAATATTGGAGTCTGGATATTAGGATAAGCGTACCAAAATTAACTAATAATTAGAAATAATAAAAACATTGGTACACTATTCGTGTTATTGGTACCCTATTCTTGTTATTGGTACACAATTCCTGTTATTGGTACACTATAGTTATTGGTACACTATTCTTGTTATCGGTACAATATCCGTGTTATTGGTACACTATTCGTGTTATTGGTACAATATTCTTGTTATTGGTACACTATTCGTGTTATTGGTACACTATTCTTGTTATTGGTACACTATTCTTGTTATTGGTACACTATTCTTGTTATTGGTACAATAATCGTGTTATTGGTACACTGTTCGTGTTATTGGTACACTATTCTTGTTATTGGTACACTATTCTTGTTATTGGTACACTATGTGTGTTATTGGTACACTGTTCTTGTTATTGGTACACTATTCTTGTTATTGGTACATTATTCTTGTTATTGGTACACTATTCTTGTTATTGGTACACTATTCTTGTTATTGGTACACT